AGTTGAGGCCCTTAACGAAATGCAATATTAAGCCCCTGGACCACGTGGCGACCTTATGATTATTGGGCAGCTCCGTTGACGCCCAAACTACTTCCAAAAAAGAATGCATAGAAATAATAGAAAGAAGCAAACGCAAAATATTTTGGAAAGTTTCGCTGCATTTCCATCGCCTTCATTCAATGTATGCTCAACAATGTAGCTTTTAGTGGCCTCAGCTTTCCTGCTCCAAAACCTTGTTTCTCGTTGTTCTTGAAAGCTAGTTGTTAAGCTACAGCAAATACAAATGAATATACAAAATTATTATTAACTATTATTAATTATTATTTGAATATCAACCAGTCCTCATATTGATGTCTGATTGTCCTTGAAGGCAGGATGGACATACGAACATTTTTCGAGAGCAAGGCGAGTAATTGTTGGCTTTAGGAAGAAACTTGACTTTGACCCCCACCATCCGCTCGTGCAACACCATGGCAAGGGCTCAATTTGGAGGCGAAAGTTCAACGTGCCGCAATGCTCAGCACGGTCCGTGCCGCCCTTTGACGTCACCTGACCTTTAGCGCGCCCGTTGCCACCGGCTGCAGGCTTTACCTGTCAAAGGCAAATAGCAGGCGTCTGAAGTGACTCAAACCCACCCCGCCACGAGGGAGTGGATCGAAAGGCAGGTGCTCCAACCAACCGAGCTGTCTGGGCAGACGCATGCGACCATATCAAAATGATAAGCTACATGGGGCTTCTCCCAGCACAGCAAACCTAGAGTAACCTAAACTCACGCAGCCGATAATGAAGACCTTGCATTACTTTCTATGGCACACCAGGAGCGGTATTTTTGTCAGCTTAAGAGAGACCGGAACGATGACCCTAACCACTCTAAATCTAAGGAATAATGACGCGTCCTAGCGCAACAGGGGCGGGAACGCAGATCAGCCTTCGGCTGATCACCATTTCACCTCACTAAAGTGCCCATTGTGGGATTGCAATTTTTTATTTCGAAGGTACTATGACGCGATCCTACGGTTTTCTGATTGCCATCGGTGTCTGCCGCACAGAAGACATTTGATATAGAAAGCTTTGTTCTGAGGGAGACCCGGAGGCGAACACGCTCCGAGATATACATTGCTGAAATCTCGAAATATCGACCCGGTTCGTGATGAGTGATACTGTAAGCACCTGCCATGGCTGCATGTACATTTTCCACCCATAGGTATATAGACTAGTCTGCTTATTGAGAATGCGCTTCTCTTGCCTTGTCTTCCTGCGACCCTTGTTGAGCCGAACCCATGAAACGAGGACTAATGTTGTGCTAGGTATGACACCCCTTCCAAGTGGCACACCCTTTCGGTCAGATTATCTGTCATATGACATTCTCAGCAGTCAAGGTCGGGTTTGAATTCAAAATTTTGTTAAAAATGGTGATCAACAATCAGGCACCACACTAATCTAGCTCGAATACCATAATGAGCCAATAACCAGAAAGTGTCTGAATACCTTGTCAACTTTCCAAAAGCTGTGTTGCCTTTTTGCGGTAATCATTCGATCACTTCAGATGAGGTTCAGCATCAGAGGAACCAACCAAACTCGGTCCATCCGAGCTAGTTTGAGGTCTCCTAGCATGGAACTGGTCCCTTGATTCCTTTTCGTCAAGAAAAGTGATGACATTGATGGAACATGGGCTTAGCTTTCTGGAAATTACGACAAGTTCTCCCGTAGTTTAGTGTTTGCAGCATGGAACTATAATTATTAACAGATGCAGCCATTTCGCATTATCTCCCTTTTCCCATTTCCGATTCGACCTGGTCCTCATCTGTCCGGATTACCCTCTTGCCTCGTCCACCGGACCCGAGCGTTTAAGGCAAAGGGGATCATGTCGTGCTGCACTTGCCTTGGATGTATGTTTCAGTTAAACGATACTGTGATGTGATGTGATATACACGACATTGCATCATACTTCTATGTGGAACCTACTCCTTGTACCGGCAGCCAGTCTCCTGGCCCGCCGCGTGGTCCAATCCCGCCGCGTCTCCTGGTCCCGCCGAACAGGCACCGGAACAGCCACCGGCACCAGCCGCTTGCCCGATCCTCCGTGTCCGCCGGAATCATGTGACGCATCGGTTGACAGAGGGAGACCAGAGATCACACGACCTGGACTAGAACCAGGCAATCCTTTTGTCTAATTCGGTCGTTCGGGCGATTCATTGTAACTATATATGATGTCCCTTTCGTCATGTGCGAATTTGGAAATGTGCTTTGTCGTCGGGGTTGATCGCTCAACCAAGTGGTAAAGCTGCTTGCCAGTATGCACAAGCCCAGCAGAGGCGCCAAGCCAAGGGTTCACGCCAAGCAGAGGCGCCAAGCCAACGGTTCACGCCAAGCAGAGACGCCAAGCCAAGAGTTCACGCCAAGCAGCGGCGCGCCCGTTTTTCTATTATTTATATTATATATAATTTATTCCAAATATTTGAAGCAAACACCACTATGATCCGAGTCCGGACTACAGCTCAATTCAAGCTGGAGCTGCGGTCTGCGCATGTGTGTCCCGCGCTGATTTAATATTTGTCATTCAGACGTCCCAAGAAACAATAAAGCTCACTTCAGAGCGTTTCCGGCACAGTTAACTTTCAACTTTGAAAAAAAAATGTCAAACTGTTTGATGGTCACAAATGATCATATCTTCAGCGGCCTTGTATCCAAATGAGCTCTACGCATCTGTACACAGCTCGGCGTAGCCAGTAAGCAAGTCTTGCTCTGAATACTAAGCTACTGTTGAATGGTGATATGAAAATGTGTGACCACCAAAATGTTTTCCACATTAAGTTCGCCGGAAATTGTCTGACCTGGAGTTTGTCGCTACTCAGTACGATCCCGCGAGACGTCACTAACACTGCGGAACGCGCATGCGCGACTTGGGCTCCAGCTCGAGCTGGCCTCACAGCGTGACATCGCAAACATGTTCGGGGTTTTAAGTCGTAAACTGTCGCTCTGACCGAACTCCAGCCTGACAGGCAGATTCAAGACTTGTAACCTTATAAACATATGTTGCGTCAAAATATCAGATATGACGGCGCCATGCACCGATTTATCGCGGAAAGTACCTGCTGCCAGTCAGTGCTGAACAGACTACTGCACATCGACAGGACTGACGGGCAGCAAGCGGAGGCAGCGACTCCAGTTTGGATTAAGCATGGGCATAGCTGTTTCTCAGGCCCTGACCCCGCCGCTCCAGCGCCCGCAAATACGGAGTCATTTTTCTGCAGGCCTTCAGCCAAATAGCTATGCAAAACCTGTGGCGTGCCGTCAATTCCGCATGGCCGCGCGCTGTAAAGATTCCCTACCTCGTCGGGGAAATGCAACGCTTTAGGTGACAGAAGATATTTCGAGTTAGGCATAGTTCATGCACGCAGCATGGGCACGCAAAGTCGCAAAGTTGGGAACATACTAGTGCAAAACAAAACAAAAACGGCCACGGCTGCTGACCAGGACCGCCGGTCCGCGACAAAAGCCGGCACAGGCAAATGAGACCCACGAGTCGAATCCCGCTGAATGTTACCGGCCGCGATTGCAGAAACAGCTGCGTTCATGTAATGGTACGAGGGCGTCAGATTCCTTGGATACGTGAAAGTCGTGTCGGCCAGCGTGACTGTCTACGATGAAGGAGTGTGACAGTGCTGGGCAGACGATTACGTCGCCTATTGTGGGAATGTCGTTTGCAATGCTCGCAACGTCCGACGCCGGTAAGGCGTTGTCGACATTCTGAAAATTTGAGCATGCTGATCTTTAAAAATCTTAAAAGGGAATAAATGCTAGATGTAAAAAACATGAGACATGTGCAGAACTTTGTAACAGTTGCGAAGGACCCGTCTGTTCGTCCCCATCCCCTGGGCAGCTCCTAAAAATCAAGTTCTTGGCATACTAAAAAAAATTAAATTTGTCTAGCTCCCCCTCCCGCGAGAGAAATCCTCACTACGTGCCGACTTGCATATGACAACATGTGACATTTGAACCCCCTGAACAAATCTTGGCTACGTGCCCGCATCGCGTGACCTCGGGCGATGGATCCAGAAATCTAGAGAAAAAAAAACGCAACACGAGACGTTCATCTTACCACACACGGTGCAGGCATTCATTTCTGGTGTCACGGCTAAGTTCTTAAATAGAATAACCTGCCTAACCTTACCCAAATCGAATGTTTTCTCAGAAATGCGCCAATTTGGTCAACTTGTTCCTGAAGATCATCTGGAACCTGCCAATCGATCTCAATGTCATCTTGTCACGACTGTGCATCCTGTTGATTTTCAAAATGGGTGCAGGCAGTTTGGACAACCTGCCTGAAGCGGTTCAGGGGTTGCTGCAAAAACGCCGGGGGCCATGTATCCGCGGGTTTTCAAGGTTCAACGTGTCATGGGCTCTGACTTGTTACGTAAGTTGTTCAGTGCATTGGCGAGGAACATTATTCACATAGATGGGCCAGTAGTATTAGCCTTATTCCATAGAGACTGACGTGATCTTATCCCTGTTTTTTCTCCGAGGAATAAAGCTACTACTTCTGTCTTATCTAGGTTCTGACTTGTGCTGAATGATGGAAGATTTCGTGTTGCACTTAGCTCTTCATGTTGACCGGGCGGAGGGTCATATTGACTAGCATGTTGACCGGGCGGAGCAGTGCGACGGGGACAACCGGCTGGCAATCGGGCTGGAAGGGGCAAATCCTAAAGACAGCAGCACACGTAGAAGTGAGCAGCACGGTCGATATCTGTGTAGCCAACTTGCACATACGCCGGCCTGTTCTGACTGCATCCCGGACTTATCTGCTCACAAACGGTTGACCACCCACAAGCTCCTCGCGTGTCGGCATCGTGCCGAGCAGCACGGTGGTGAGTGAGGGGCGGTTTGTCTCTGGGGATCGGATATACTCGTCGATGTGTATGCAGGCTTTGTGATGCTGGAACATTGTCATCAGTGTCGCTTTCATGCCGACACAATGTGTGAGACAACAGACAGCGTTGTTGACGGCTGCACCCAGGTGATGGAAATGGCACAATCTGTTTTTTATTTGTCACATATTCCTATACACAGCACGCCCCAAGGCCGCCTGGCTCCCTTCGACAGGCCTCCCATCCCTCGTTTACAGAAGGTTACTCTTCGGTCACTTGCCCTTCGGGCACTGTCCCTTTGGGCACTTGCCCTTCTGCCCCTTGCCTAGGTTGTCGCCACTGGGCAGCACCTGGTCGAGCAGATCCTTCAGCGGCGGGCGGACGGGAAGGCCTTCAGTCTTGAAGCGGTGCTCACCGTTTGTGACGACCGAGCCTGCGATGCTGCCCGGCCCGGCCGTGTTGCCGTTAAAGGCGGTGTCGGACAGGGAGCCTCCACCGCCCCGCTTGTTAGCCCCCTGACCCTGGGTGTTGGCCTTGCTGGAGGCGCTGCCATCCGAGGCTTGTTGCCCGGTGGAGTGCGCCCTGGTGACGCCCACAAGGTCGCCACTGAACGAATCGAGGCCGAGCACCGACTCGCCGCCGGAACGGACCGCAGCGTGGGCTTGGCCGTCGTTCGTCGACTCCAACGAGTTCTGCGCCCCCGACTTCGTGGTCAGCGTGCCTTTGGAGTCGCCGGCGCGGCTCGTGCCCCTGGACTGTCCGGCGGCGCCGGCGCCGGGGCCCCTCGTGGCCACGTGCCCCTTGGAGCCGGCCTCAGTCTTCGCCCCTTGGGCGAGGCCGTCTCCGCCCGTAACGCCCTTGGTGTAGGCGCCCTCCGAGCCCTCGGCGGCGCCATCGCCGATGACGTCCAGCCCCACCTGGCTGCCGCTGACGCCCGTGACCTGGCCGCCGTTGGCGGCGGCGCGGCCGCGGCCTGCCACGCTGCCGCCCGCGCCGCCAGTCGACGTGGCCTTGCCGTCGGAGGCCGAATCGGTGCGCGTGGCGACGCCGTCGGGCCGCACCTCCACGCCAGCCGAACCCACCGAGTTGATATGACCCTTGGCAGCGCCGTCGCCGCGGGAAGCCGAGCTGCTGCCCGCCGTGGAGTCCGTCTTGGTGACTCCGCCGATGGTGGCGGCGTCACCATTGGCGTCGATGTTGCCGGTGGCCTGGCCGGTGCTGACCACCTTGGTGTTGGCTCTCGTCTGGCTGCTGGCCTCTTCGCTGTTGGGTGTGACGAGCTTGTCCGTCTCACCGGCGGCGGAGCCCTTGCCCTTGACGGCGCCCTGTTCCTGCGACGTCAGTTCGACGCGCACGTGCGCCCTGGTCTTCTGGTCGGGCGTGACTTCGGTCGAGGTTGTACCGCCGCTAACGCCAGCTCGCGCGTTTCCGTCCGTCTGCACGCCGCCATTGACATTTACTTGGGATCTGGCACCAGACGACGGCGGCGGCGGCGGTGGCGGCGGCGGTGGCGGCGGCGGTATTGGTGGGTGTGAAGGAGGCGGCGGTGGGGGAAAGCCGATGCCACTGGGGGCGGCTGCAGAAAGAGATGGGCATCATCACGCGAAGAGATGGTGCACATAGCGAGAAGACGCCGGAGTGAGCAAACACGTTCTTTGGTTGTTATAGCAGGGTCTCACGCGATTAGATTGACCTCGGTAACGTTCTTAGAGGTAGCACGTGCGCTCTTTTTTGTCGTGGACGTGACTTCATCCGCATCTGATCGAAAACTGCACGGCCGAAATGAAGTGAGCGATGACTTACGAAGCACGACATCTTTGTATATCCCACCACGTCGCCTCTACGGCTCGGTTGTGGTACTCCATAGTTGGGAGACGTCAGCGCCCTCTCGTGGTCGGAGGTCGGGGCCCAGCCCAGCTGCTCAGCACGTACCACACGCGGTGCCGATGGCGAGTGCGATCAGGAGCCAGACTTTCATGGCGGCGGGGACCGGGGACAGGGCTGGCAGGCACTGACGGCCCTTGGCCGGCACAGCCCGCCTTTATGCCGGCGGTGACAGGCGTGGGCCGTGCCGTCCGCCCCCGGCCCGGCGCCTAAGGTCAGCCTAACCATCCGCAGCAGCCGCGGACGCGCTGACACCGACACCTGCCGTGCCAACCGCTGACACCGACACTAGCCGTGTCAACCGCTGACACTGACGCTGCCGTGCCAACCGCAGACACTCTGGTACCAGCCGTATCAACCGCGTACACTAGTGGTGTCAACCGCTGGCAATGACACCTGCCGTGCCAACCGCTGACACCGACACTAGCCGAGCCAACCGCTGACACTGACGTCGCCGTGCCAACCGCAGACACTCTGGTACCAGCCGCGTCAACCGCGCACGCTAGTGGTGTCAACCGCTGGCAGTGACACCAGCCGTGTCAATCGCGCGCACTAGCTGTGTCAGCCACTGACGTTGACACCATGTGTGTCAGCCGCTGACACTGACACAATCCGTCCCAAGCACTGACACTGACACTAGCCATGTCGACCGCCGACACCATCCGTGTCAGGCGTCGATACTCTGGCACTAGTCCCGCCAACCGCTGAGACTTTGGACACCGGCAACGTTAACCGCTGACACCAGCTGTGTAAAGCGCTGACACCGACAATAGCCGCGTCAACCGCTGACACCAGGCATGCCAAACGCTGCCACTCTAGACACCAGATGCGTCAACCGCTGACACTAGCCGTGTCAACCGCTGCCACTCTAAGTAGCAGCCGTTAATCGCTGACACCAGCCGTCTCAAACACAGATACGCTGTCTGTGACCAACGCGCGAGCAACCACCGCTGGTTCAGTCAGAGGGACTAATGAACTACCACCAGTGCCACTTACAGCTTCCGCTGGTCCGGTCAGAGGGACCAATGAACTACCACCAGCGCCACCTACAGCCACCGCTGGTCCGGTCAGAGGGTCTAATGAACTACCACCAGCGCCACCTACAGCCACCGCTGGTCCGCTGTTCTGGTCAGGGTACACTGATGAGCTACCACCAGTGCCGCCCCCATCCACCGCTGGTACAGTCATGGGCACCGATGGACCATCACCAGCGCCACCTACAGCCTCAGCTGGTCCGGTCGGCAGCTGGACGCGTGACGTCATCTGAACCGCCACCAGCACCTACTACAGTCGGGCGCAGGCGGCGGACGAAGTGAGACTTTCTCTGCTCTGCTTTTGCTCGACTTAGGCTCTGCAGCTCTGCGTTGCGACCACACGTTTGCACCAAATCCATGCGTTTGCACCACACCCATGCGTTTACACTGGACCCACGCGTTTACACTGGACCCATGCGTTTACGCTGGACCCATCCGCTTACGCCATACCGACGCGTTTACGACGTACCCACGCGTTTACGCCAGACCCATGCATTTATACCAGACCCATGCGTTTACACTAGACCCGTGCGCTTACAACAGATCCATGCGTTTACACTAGACCCACGCGTTTACACCAGACCTGTAAAGGCCTACCGCAAACTAACCATCATTATGCGGCGTGGCACGGATAGACTCAACAGCTGCAAAACGTATCGCACCACTCTCCGACTCTTGGCCAAGCACGGTGAAAGGTCAAACCCCATCATCTAGTTCCATGGACTTCCCAGATTGCTTTAGACCAGGTTTGGTTTTCAACCACCAAAAACTGTCCCGTTGTACGTGGAGAGAAACACAATTCTATGAATCATTGTCCCATTCGCAGTGCCTACATGAGAACCGGAGTCCATTCTTGATTATGGGGCAACGTTTTCTTTCACCTCCGCCGGGCCTCTCGGACGGCAGAGGCCCTCAGCTGCTCGTCGTTTCGTTGCCGTCGTCCACCACGGCCTCCTGGCCCTCACTGAGTAGACATCCGAGTTCAGTTTGGCCACAAATCGACCACCCGATACAAAAACCCTCACCGTGCCGTGAAAATCATCACGCACAAGGTGATTAGCACGTTGCACGCCTGTCTATGGATCGGGTAACCTCCTTCCATCACCGCCACATAGTATGTTTGCATGATCCGGTGAGCCTGCACCGTCCAGCGGCACGCTCGCGTCACGGCGCGGCTGAGAGCCCCAACCGCCGAACGTCCCCCTGGTGGCGCCATGTCTCGTCACCTGTCAGCACCGCGGCCAGCCCGCCGCCAAAGGTCACCTGTATGCTCCCGGCTGTCGCTGTAAAGGTCACCGATGGCGCGGGCCGGGGCCGACGTGACCTCACGGGCCCGCATCCGGCGGCGGCCGGCAGGTCAGGCCGCTCGTCTGACCGCCCTCATACCGGCCGAGTACGGCACCGGCGCCGAGCAGCGGGCTCCCGGGCCGTTGGCCTTACCACACCGGCTTTACGACCCGGCCTTACGGTGGCCAGCGCCCCTTGTCACGTCGCCCAACCTACCTCTCCTCGGGCCGGTCTGTCGCAGAGCCCCGAAGGCGAACCTGGGCGCTGTCCGCCCCACTGGCCTGCCTCCAGTCCTAGCGGCTCACTCTCGGCGCCGGTGAGAGACTGGCAGAGATGAAACGCTGGCACGCCTCGCACTGTTGACCGGGAGTCGGCTGGCCAGCCGCCGCAGGATATCGAGGCGCCACCCCGGTGCACGGGCCGCCGTGGCGCCCGCTGCTGGGCTGTGTGAGTGGCTGGTCCCAACCGCCGGCGACGCGCGTCGGACGCCGCCGCTCGCAGTCCCGTGCCCAACTCAACTCACGGCCTCTCCAAAATAGCATTTATTCCCGCGTTACAAAGCCCGGCGCTCTGGCCGGAGGCACTTTTTATATAACGATTAGATAACTCCAATGGAAAATACATCACTGTAACATGTAACCACATCACACACAGACGCCGGCTACAGACTTCAAAAATCCTCGCCGAAGCCGGAGCCGTGCTCGCTTGCAAAGAAACCTCAAAACAAAAGGGCGGCCGGTGTTGGCCTCTTAGTCTCTGTTCAGAGCGAAGCGGCAATTTCTGAGGGCGTGCACGTACGCTAAGCCGGGCGCTACAGGGCCAGAAGACGGAAGGGAGGCGCTGCCGTTGGCGCTCACACTCGCACGCGTCCCTCTCTCTCTCAGTCTCTCGTGCGCGCACTCTCTCTCTCTCTCGCTGTTTGACGCCGACCCGAGCCGTGAGGGGGCCGGGCGGCGCGGACGACCGGCGCGGCCGCTAAGTAGGCGGCCTCCTCTGCGTCCGACGGCGTCGCTCGAGCGCGGCCGGCGAGCGAAGCGCACCGCATCGCCGCCACCGGCCGGCCGGACGTCCCCGCGTGTCTACATGTTCTCGAAGGCGTCGACGCGCCGCTTGGTGTTGCCCTTGCGGATCTCGCGCAGCGTCTTGTACTTGTCGCGGCCCTCCTTCACGTTCTCCTTGTGCAGCTTGTCCATCTGGGTCTCCTTGCTGTCGTCACGGGTCTCGGCCAGTTGGTCCTTCAGAGCCTGGTGACACACGCAGAGAAGACTCGTTCAGCGTCAGCCCGCGCGCCGGTGAGTGAATGGACTACGATTACGGACATTCATGTCACTGCAGGGTATTTGCTCATTTGTCTATCATGAAGCTGACGTCACAGCGTATAATTAGGAGGAAACTCCCGGGAAATTTTGACTCGTCGTTCTTTACGCAAGTTCTTACTTAAAGCGAGTCAAGAATCCAGATTTCCAATGACGTGTGGGCACAGCAGAAAGGATTGGAGACATCAACACCCCTTGCAAGCCACACGTGCCGTACAAACTGCACGACAACCAACTAATGAATTCCAAGAGAAACGACAGCCCAATCCTTCACATGAAGCCGTCGGCAAGAGTTGCGTCTGCTGCGGCGTGTGACCCCACGAACCGCGGACGGCCTATGCAGCCGTGCAAATGTCAGTGTCGTCAAACGGTCGTAGCCGGGAGGGTCGTGTCCGGCTGCCGCACCAGACACGTGACGTCCCCCCCCGCTCCGCTGACCGGCACAACACCCGCCAACATTCACGCGCTCAACCTCCGCCGGCAAGCGACGCGTGCACGGAGGATTAATTCGACAGCGACGTAGCGCCGACACGGTGATATCACGCAAGCCCAAAGGTCAGCCAAAAGCTTGTTTAGATTAGATCTGTTCAACACAGGCACTCCTCTCCGCGGGAGAACGCCGTGGTGGGGTGCCCGACAGCCCGCTCCCTCCGCCGCTGTCGGGCGGGCCCCGTGTCGCGGTGGCGTGCTCGACACACCGTCGCCCCCCCCCCCCCCCCCCTCCTTCCCGCTGCCGAGCCGGCCACCTAGCCCGCGTGACGTCACCGCGCCCCGTGACGAGCTCGGGAGACTCCGCGCCGCGGCGCCCGCACGAGGCGAGCCGCCGATGCCACTGCGCAGTGCCGTCGCCCCGCCTCCCCCTCCCCCCCACCGGGGCGGCAGTACGGCGGTACGGCGAAGCTGACGCGTGACGTCACCGCGCCCGGCGCGAACCGGTCACCGGCCGCCGCGGGCGAGGGGCCGCGCTGTGGGCGGACCAGCCCCGTGCGGACCAAACGCGGCGGACACGGAGACACGCCGGGTGCCGGGTGTGACGCTGGTGAGCACCACAGCAACGCCGCCAACTCAAGCCACATTTGAGTATGTTTGATCACTTTTGAAAATCTAGAAGTCTCGACTGGAAATGTTTTGGGTGGGAGAAAAAGGTTACACAAACCTATGTGGAAAACTGGGTGCCCTGGAAACGTGCTTAACGAGTGGAAGTGCTACTCCCAGCACCATATCGTTACAATATCCTTCAATACCATGCTATTCCTTTACGAGCCATCTGAATGATAGCTCTGTATAACGCACGCAAAAATCATTCCTACACGTACGAACTGTAAAAAGGTACTACACTGTCGGAAACATCCCATAACGACAGTCAGACGACGCCTATTTACGTGCCACACGCTGTACGCCAGATAGTTACCCTACCAAGCGCAACAGCATGGCACAACCCGAGGAATTCACAAGAAAGTGCAGCATGCAGCTCGGACATCGGATACCTAAAAACGGAACGTTACTCACAAAGAGACCCTATGTGTGTTTGACCACCGGAAACCCCTCCATGATCCCCAAACCAA